CAACCAAACTACATTATAGAGGTTTGTTTCTCAGGATTCTCTTCCGGTTTTACCTCCAAACTGTTTGTCTGAAAATCCTGCTACAATCCGGGAGTTTATTGAAAAGGGCAAAGCTGCTCTTGTTTCTGTTGGCATAGTTAGGGACACAGTTGTTGGTACCATACTATCCTGTTATTGTATTTCGTTTGAGTACACCTGTACTACCAAGAATAAGCATGTGGTGGTAGGATTGGATTCAGAGTGGTCGGTTTCATGCTGCAGGAAATGGCAAGGATGCTGGAAAGTTCTCTACTGGCCGCATAGTTGATTCAGACATGCATGATGTTGGACGTTTTCTCAATCGGCTTTTAGGACTGCCACCAGAGATCCAAAACAGGTTACGCTTAGCTTATGCTTTTTAATTTAATATATATATAATATATTATATATTTCGTAGTTTAATTGAACTAGTTAGTAATTACTTACTAGCAGGCTGTTTGAATTGTTTGTTCGCATTCTTGATCATCTTCTTCAAAATGCACGCCTTGAAGGCCATTTAGATACTGGGATTGTTGATATGAAAGCCAACACAATTGAGTTACAAGGATCTCCAAAGGTAAGGTTACACTTACACTACTAAACTTTGTGTATTCTATTCTTGTTATTAACATCTTATCTTTTGGCAGACTGTTCATACAGATCATATGTCTGGAGCATCCACTGTACTATTTACATTTGTTATGGATCGTGGCATTACTTGGGAGGTATGCACACATTTTTTTTACTCTACACTACTACAAGCAAGCAGTGTTGTTTAATTATATTATTATTAATTTTCACAGGCGGCATGTGCATTGCTTAGTGAGAAGCAAAAAGATGTGTCTGGTTCTTCTTCTATTGGATTTTATGAATCAAAAAGAGAGTGGCTTGGAAGAAGGCACTACGTTTTGGCAATCGAAAGGTTATTAATTAATAAAGTTTGTTTGTTTAATCCGGTTTAGTTTCTACTCACACGCACAAAGCACAAGCTAATAAGAGGAACTCGTATGTATTTCATCCAGCTCTTCTGGAATGTATAAGATTTTCCGCCCTGCTGTTGGGGAGGCCGTCAGGTAATAAATAAATTAAAAAAACCTCCCTCTGACTTTTGACACTTGTTATTAATATTTACTTACTTTTTCAGGGAAATGCATATAGCTGAGCTGAAAGACAAATACAGAAAAACATTGTCATTAGAAAAGGCACACACTGGATGGAAGGACGAGTATGAAGTTTCATCCAAGCAGGTATCATACATGTACTTCATCTTCATTTATGAAAAATGTTGTAGCAGATTTTATTACAGTTTTCATCACATAAACCCAATCTAAATTCTAAAATCATTCATATATTTGATTGGGAGGGAGGGAGTGAAGAGAGTTTGTTTGTGTGGCACAGTGCATGCATGGTCCAAATTGTAAGCTTGGAAGCTTTTGCACTGTGGGGAAAAGAATACAGGAAGTGAATGTACTTGGTGGTCTTATTCTACCAATTTGGGGAACAATTGAGAAGGCCCTATCCAAACAGGTTTCTAGTTATACTATTATGATATATCATGCATGATGAATTTTTATTAAGCTTTTTTTTTTTTTTTTTGCTTATATATATATATATATATAATGATTATTTAATTTGTATTGAATGCAATGCAGGCCCGTCAAAGTCATAGACGGATACGTGTTGTGCGCATCGAGACAACGAAAGATGCTCAACGGATTGTTGGACTTCTTGTTCCAAATGCAGTAGTACCTTCTGTGCTTCAAGGTCTCTCTCTCTCTCTCTCTCAACCAATGTTTTCACAATAAGAAAATAATAATAATAATATGCAAAGACAGATGGCCAAACCATGGCTGGCCATTATTTATTTATTTTACATGCTGTTCCTCATTTGATCTTTGGTTGTATATATTTTTCTCGTTTCAAATTAAGCTTTATTTTTTATTAGAAGATAAACAAAATGCGTCGAAATTCATCATTATTTTCTGTACCTACTGAGTACTAATACAGACTATCATTGGCATGTCTTCAAATACAATCCGAAAATTCGTAATATCATAATCTAATTTTCAATGTTTTTTATATTAAAAATCAATGGTTGAGATGGTGGTTTTTTATAAATAAAATAAATTCTCTTGTAATTTTAAATAGGATAAAATTGATTATAGACAGAAACAATATATAT